AGACAAGGTGTGTGTGTGTGTGTGCGCGTTTGTGGGCTGAAGGTGAGTCACCATCACCTCATTCAGCAGGATGAAAATCACTCTCACTTTTCCCCGCTCACACACACATACATACGCAGACACATGGCCATTTTCTTCAACCTTGAAAGGGAAAAGCTGCTCTGAATAAGGAGATCCTCTGAATGGGGGTACAGAGGAGAAGAAGGTGGGTGGAGGGAGGGGAAAATAGACAAAAAAGGCGGCGGGAGGCGTGGACATAGTGGAAAAAGGGGGAGGGAGCAGAGAGGAAGGGATGGGGGAGACATCAAAAAGAGTCATCATGCTGCATATTAGTGAAATAATGAAATTTGCCTTTTAGCTAATGACATCTCGGGACAGCTCTGTTAGTTTTCACATAAATTACAGCAGGCCGGACTGCAACGCTCGCTCGCTACCTCGGCACAAAGCCATCCGCGCACACACCAACGCGTACACACGAGTAAAACACACACATTCAAGAGCGATCAGTGGCGCAGCAGCGACCAGTCGGTGTCCCCTGTTTGAAATTCAACACCCTCACAGACCTATATCCCTTTTTCTATTCCACACCCTGAATTCATTACTGTCACACACACTCATGCACCCATAATCATATTCATCATACTTGCCCGAGCCTCCTCTACCTCACTGCCTAAATTTCTATCCAAGGGAGCCCCAATATGGCTGCTGATGACCTTCATTAGTCTCCCACTTTCTCTCTTTTTCTACCTACTGTATTTTTCATCCCTCACAGACGTGCCCTCTCCCACTTTTTGTTGCTCGTCTCTTATTTTCTTCTATGTCACACACATTCGAACTCTCTATTTCATGTTCTCTCTTTCTCTTTCTTTCTTTCCCCAACCTGTCACTCTTTTCTCATTACTCCCTCTCTCCCTCTGTTTCATTAGCATACAGAGTAAGAAGATGGCGCTGGGGGTAATCTGCACGAGCCGGCGCTGACAAAATGGAGGGCGTCATCAGAGGTCGTGGTGCTGTCATCGGGCGCCCAAAACCCTCCGCTGATGTCTGCCTGTCACACGCTTGCGCTCACACATGCATCGCACATATTTTAAAGCGAACAGGAAGGGGAGGGAGGGAGGGGAGAAAGGAGGGAGCATGTATCCATAATCAGGTGTGACACATCACAGCGTAAATGCTGCTATCTCACCTGACAGCCACGCACACACCGTACATGTGTGCAGTGTTTGCGTCGTGTGGGCCACCACAACGGAAACAGACGTTGACAGGTATCTAAGAGTGTTCTGAGACGCATGGTACAGCAGTTTTATTGAATTCAGCTGGTTTGTTTTGTTTGGACTTCTTTTAGTTGTTGAATTCATCAGGATGTAGATGTAGGCAGCCTTTCTCTCCATGTTTAAGTATCACTGACAGACAGACTGACAGTCAAAGAAATCCTCTAATCCCTTTAGTTTACAAACTTAAGAGTGATTTGTAGCACCAGGACACCTTTCTGATCTTTCTTTAAATGTACGTATTTCAAATCCGCGCAGCCGTCATCGCCACACAACACTCCTGAGGGCACATCGCAATAACCACTGAGCTGCACAATAAGTCACGGTGTCATCATTCTTTTGGCATGAGCGTCAGAATAAACACATTGCAAAAGTCTAATTTTATTGCAATAAAATGAAAATTAAAAAAGCAAGGCTTCTCACAAATCATGCATGTCTACACTGTACTGATTTCTCACTGTTTTCATGCTGTCAGATGAAGCTTGAGATAGCATACAGCTGCCTCTGATTATTTGGTGCCAGTTAAGAGGGAAAGAAAAATCATGCACATGTTGCAAACAGGTGTGTGAAATACAAAGGACAACATATGTACATGAGTGTAAACTTTTTGCATGCGTGCACTCAGTTGATTAATTAAACTTGCAGACCTGAGGGGATCAATATGTTGGCTGTCAAGGAAGTGAACTTTGTGACCTATATATTGACACCAACAGGAAAGACAGGTTGATGAGTTTGTGGAAAAGTTGTAGTTAAGGTTTGACGATTGGATGTCAATGTCAATGTGAATTTGATGAAAACACCCACCCTTCCTTTAGGGACTTTAAAATCACATTAGCACATGTAACAGAAAGGATGACAATACCTTACCAATGGTGTAATAGCTTCGTTTTGTATTCTTTATTGAGTCTCTAACTAATTCCTGTGATTTCCGGTGTGGATGAAAGTTGACCTTAAGAGGTTTTTTGTCAACAACACAAATTTCATTATGACTTTTGCTTCTTTCGGCTCTCTGCTGAAACAGGGAAGCCTGGTTTCTGATAGGACCTTTACATGTCAGCTGATAAAAGATTCAGCCCCTGATTAGTCCACAGATTGAAACCAGTATGGAGGCTTTCAATGAAAAAAGTCAGTTTACAACAGAAATTACAACATTTTGCTCAAATTAAGATCTGTATCATTACAGATTATCTTTGTTTTACATGGACTGAACCCAGACACTCTGAAAATTCACTGATCTTCTGTGTAGATGTTGCTGAATCACAGTCACAACATGTAGATGTGGATATCACTGTAAGTCATTATGGTGTACAGTTCTATTTTTAAGGCTGACGATCTAAGAACAATAATATCATGTTGACATCCCCCTCCCCAGAGCAGAGCTTTCCTGCTCCTCATGGAGGTTTCTGATGCATTACAAGAGAAAAGTGGACATATAATCCCTCCGATGCATTCTGAGTCTGTGCTGGGGTCTCCTCTTAGTAAGACATACCCAGAAGACTTGATGGACAAGGCTCAGCTCCATCTTCACTACAATGGTGCAAGTGCAATGCTTGCACCAACATGTTCCACAAACTCATGAACAAGACCCTAAAACTCTTGACCCCACATAACGCACAAGCGGATGATTCACTGTTTCCCATGAATCTGGACACAGAGTCGCCGACTGCCATCCTTTCCATGACATATTCAGCTGCTAGAGTTTTCAGTCCTTGGAAGCAACAGAACCACATCATTTGCAAACAACTAAGGCCTTCAAACCGGAAACCCAACTGCACCTTAAGATCCTGTCGATCAAGATTAAAAGCAGGAGCAGTCGCAAGGAGCAACTCTGGCAGATGCCAACATGGACAGAGACCTGTAGCAGCTCTGTAACCCCAAACTCCCACAGTATCCCCCCACAAGACTCATTGAGGGACATCAATCAGTTGGGGCCCATACCATGGAGCAGTCTTCCCCAGGACGCCAAGTTGTATGATTTTCAGATAGTTGGAGCCCAATCTCCAGCTACACCTGGGACATTGCCGCAGAGGAGCCTTTTAAATACCCCAGAGGCCTCTGCCAGGGATAGACAAGTCTCCCACTGGTTCTTAGAGCTCTTCCTCAGAGGATGTGTCAGTTTGGTTTAAGAGATCCTGAACATGTTCCTTCCATCGCCTTAACTATATGTCCAATTCTCCACCCCTGCAGAAAACGGCCAAAGCCAAGCTCTGAAGGCTTGCCAGAATATCCTTGAAGCCAATCAAAAGTCCTTCTCCAGAGGTCTTCCTACACAGTTTTTACTTCTGCAACTGACGAAGCCATAGCCCTGCAATCCACTGGGTACCTGTCTGCTGCCCCCTCGGCTAACCAAGTCTGAACGGCCTCCTTTGGCCTGATGGCTTCCTCAGCAGGTTCTAAGGTCGCTGTCAGCACAGGTCCTGTCAGTTTGCTAGACGCATTTCCTGGCAGCTGCTAGGACTCCATGTACCCAAACTACCTCTGGATGCACAGAAAGTTTCTCTGGAGGTGGCCACCAAGCCCAGGTATAACCAATTCACCCTCACGTCAAGTTTTGGTTGCCAAGCCTCTCCAGATATGAAGCATGATTCTGGACCAGGACGTTCTGACTCCCAAAACAGGATCATGTTTAGAAGTTAAACACGATTCGACAGAAGTTTTTAACCTGACTGTTGAGGGAATAAGTGACACTCTATGGTCTGCTTTGTTTTTTATCGGATAGAAATTGTACATTTATTAATATTTGTGCTTTCTTGTCAAGTCAGCTGTGTCTCAGTGGAGTAAAAACGATGTTCGCTTAGAGGATAAGATGAAATGCGTATATAGAGGATGGCAGAGAAGGAGAAGAAAAAGGTAAAATAAGATGGCTGTAAGGAAATAGAGAAAAAGGAAACAAGGAGGAAGGAAATGAAGAGGACAAGCAGAGAGTGAAGGATAAATTCCCAGGAGGCAGTGTTAAGTTGTACTGGTGTGTGAGCTTGTCATTAATAGTGTCCCTGCCATGGTTATGAGAGCTGCAAATACTTTGGTGCTAATAGACAGATTATGGAAAGAAACGAAGCATGTCCCGAAATCCTCTTAGCAAGACTTCTCCATTTTATTTATTTATTTTCTGCCACATTCTGTCTTTTTCTCTCTGTCTTCCTCTCCCCTACCTTGGTGGCCTTGGCATTGTCTCGTTGAACGTGTTTCATGTTTTGTCTGACGCTCGGCGGGTAATGTTGCCTCTCTCTCTTCTCCTCTCCGTGTCTCTCTCCCTCTTTTTCTGTCTCACACGTTTTCAAAAGGCACTTTATTTATTGTCCCGGGGGAGCACTACATTATGCATTAACCTGTTCAATTATGCATTCATTTATGCAGCCGTTGCCTTATGTAAATGCACTTTATGATTAAACAAATTGTTTCGCTGTTTGGCCGTGTGTTCCCCACATTGAGTGTTTGCCAGTGACATCATGCAGCAGCAGCAATAGACTCCATGCCTGTAATGTCTATGTGTGAGCAGAGTCCTATTTGTGCCCTATTAAACTGGTGAGGGGGCCTCAGAGATTGTGGCAACACTCTGCAGGCTTTACAAAGTGATGCTGGGCGGAGAAAGGCAACAGTTTATGTTCAGTTCTCCTCCAGAAGGCCAATGAAGGGTCAATTGGAAACATTTTTAAGGTCTTTCTCTAAGGCTGGTTGACTTGCGTCTCCGAGCTCATTTTGGTTTTCCACACTTCCTCTGAGTTAAAGCTCAAGAAGTGGGTCATTTACTGGTTCTATTCATAGGGAGAACTTTTTAAGACCTTGCGTTTTGGACTGTGTTCTAGCAAAAGCAGGTCTCTGGTTCATCCAGGACCCTCAGCCACTTGATGCAGGCCAACCCCTTTTCTCCTCCCTGTATTATCTCTCTCCTCATTGTTGAATTAAAAAAAGCATATATGGAAGTATATGGAAATGTTGAAGGTGCTTTACTCCATTAAACAACATTTAGAGTATTTTACAAACATGATAAACGACCTATGCCACCTTACTTCAATGTACCACAGCCTATCAGGAGTTGTGTAACAGTAGCTCTGGCAAAATACACAACTTTTTTTGTACAAACTAAGTCCTGATCTATAGGTAAACTTTTTGTGTTATTTAATATATGACAGAATAGTGAGAAGAGCTTCTCTCCACACCGTTTTAGATACAGTCACACCACGCACTGACTGACTGTATGCTGTGTCATTTTAGGCTGTTATACTAACAATGATGATCACCAGCTTAAAAACAAACTTGATATTGTGGCAAACAGAAGCATGCAGTAGTACCATGAGTTCATAGTCATGGGTTATGGTCATTAAAATACAGGAGAGACACAGCAGAAGCAGCAGATGCTAGTAAGCTAGCTTTTGCAGACCTCTGAGAAATGATCAGGCACTTTCAAAATCTGACATAAGACTGAATTCACAACCAACTTTTGTGTGTATGACCCTGTATTTAAGTAGTCAATTAAACATTTGTTCTTTATTTCCATTTTGAACTGTTTTGATCCAGTTCTTTAACTTATGATCTATCAGACGCAGCATACTTAAGTCTTTAAATGAGGAAAATAAAATAACTTAAACACTAAAGACAGAAAAAAAGCGATCAAAATTGATATGACTAACTATAATTTTATAAGGCAATGTCTGAACCAGAGAAGTTCTAGTCAGAGGACTGGTGAAGTTAACAAATCGTAAATTAGCACATCATTACAAATTAATGATCATATGACAGTTGATTATATTTGTGAGTGAAGTTTATAAAAAAAACGTGTTGCTCCACTCTTGTTTTTTCTCAGTTTGACTGATTTTTTTTGTTTAAGTTACAGTTTTCATCGAAATTTGCAACATCATGATCACGACATTTTATGGCCACAATAATCTTGAGGTGAAAGACTGGTGCTTGTTGGTATACTATAAATGTTTTACACAAAACATTATGTAAAATTGTGTTCATGGGATTTGGTTTATCATAATTACAATGAATAATGTTATTAATCAAATGGCTAAATGATCATAAAAGCAAAGTACATGCACCTAAAACAATCACAGGTCAAAACAATGCCACAGACGGCGAATTTAATAAAAGCCAAAGAGTCATGTGGGAGATGGCTCTTATTGCGGAGCTCAGCCAAATGATCTGGATCATTAAAAAGTGCCTGAATTCCCATCACTAATATTCACGGTTCAGTAATTAAATGTCAATATTTGTTATAACAGTGATTAACACCACTTATCTACAAAGCAAGTGCACACGACGGAGGGACTCGGTGGAATGTCCAGTTGAAGTTATTATGTTTAAAGGGTCCTCTCTATAGATTATTCTTAAAAAGGAAGAGTTGTCTTGTAATCAGGGAAGAGACGGTAAAGAAATCACATCCACCTTTGTCAGAAATCAACATTTTCTTAAAATTAGAATAACATTTTAGATGAGAAGAGAAAACTCATCGATCAAAAACGAATATTTTCATACTAGATAGTTTGTAGACACAATCAATTTTTAAGTCTGGACTCATTGTGACTTTTTCTGTCTAATTGTAAGAGCATTCATCAACCCCTTTTCCACAAAGTTAACATCACATAGTTTGCTTTGGAGTTGTTGCTGTGCTGTACTTTGCAAAAAGTGTCAGAATCTTAACTTTTCTTGGCTACGGTTTAGTCAGAAAGCAAAGAGTGAAATCACTATACCTTTGCTTGCCAATATTTGTACTGTCATGAGATCAACTACGAGCGAGTGTGCCAAATACTGAAGTTGTTACCAGAACCTTATCGGTGTGTCAAAAACAGGCATTCTTCTAAGAGTCCAGAACCCTGAAACAACTGCTAATTTAAAACAAATACCCTTAATAGGCAGTGTTATAATGTCAGCAGAGGCCTGGAAGTCCCCTATTGACTGAGGACTAAGAGAGTTGCTCCAGACATCTTAATCACAGCTATATATAGCCTCTCTCCTATCTGACAAGAGAAATGAGCAGCTATTTAAGACGGATGAACTGCGTCTGGATGGCTGCTAAACTTATCTTAACCACAGCCACACCTTTGATCTACTCCAGATCTCCCATTGGTTTCCATCTGATACAGGCTATCTGATTTACCCGCGCCACCGAGGAATGAGAAATTTTAGACCAGAGGAGATGAATGGAATATGCATTAAGACACCTTGACTATACAGTCACTCTATTTTTCCGCCTTTCTTTCTCTACGTACGCAGCCATTCTTCAATCACGCTGTTGTAACGCTGTGACTGTACCCCCCCCCCCCCCTCCCTTCCAAAACCTTCTCTCTCTTCACCTCTATCTTTCTCCTTCCCTCGGTACGCCTCGCTCTCGCTCCATCTCTCCGTCTCTGCCGGGGTGTGAGTGAGTGATGGAGTTTTAGTGGACCCTGTGAGCAGTCCTGTGGTTTTTCAGAGCCACACATCAGAGGCAGAGCATTAGCCCTCTGCATGCTTCAGGAGTTTGGCTTGGCAGAGCACCAGGCCCCCTAACTACCTCCTCTGTAGAACTCACTGCTGCCAGTGCGGGCCAGACAAACTACCTGAGCCTTATTCGCAATATGCATGAAAAAAAAAATGCCGATGTCCCACTGTTTATATTTATATTCATTAACCTTTATAAGGACTTATGTGTGTTTTTATTACATTAATTTTGCGAGTGTACCCTGACGCAGAATGAGTTAGAGCAAGTTTATATTGGCTGTTTTGATGGAAAGTGGGTCCCTATCTGCATAATATACAGTAAATCTTCATTATCCAAACCTCAGGAAGACTGTACAGACTGAATGGTTGAGGGAGCAAGCATAATGAAGAGAATATGCACAGCAATGCAAAGTTATAGTCTGATAATTTTCTACATTAATAAAAAAGCTACCTGGAACCTGCATGTTACGGTTGTAAAATTAGGCAAGATTTATAGGAAAACTGCAGAGAAACTAGACAAAAGAAAGTAAAACACCTGTGTTCACGTGTGATTCATGTAGTTTTACATATGTATACATTATTTAATATACTTTGTGAATGTGAGAGGGGAAGAACAGGAGAAAAAAAAATCTTTTTCACCTGCAGCTTTTGTGGTACCTGCTTTTTCATGCACAGATGCCTGAATTGAAGACAGATGAACATCAGTATTCTGGGTGTAAAATGCTGCAGGCTCATAATAGTACATGACTGTTGCATAAAATCAAACATAAACATCTATTTATTATTTACCACATATTAGCAAGTATGCTGTATGGGGTCAAAACTGCAGCACAGACAGTTCTGACACTCCCTGTGATTGCTGGTATTTCTAAAGCAGCTCTTATAAAAGGCTTCTCTTGCAGCTTTTTTTGGACACCAGGACATTTATTCTCACCCCTGGACCCCGGGTCATTAAAAGAATAGAGGTATTCTCATTTCGGGCCCCACACGAAACGACTCCCTGACATTTCTTTGTCCCGAGACGTATGTTTAAAAACCAGCTTTATCCTGACTGGCGGTCTGACGGAACGAGGAGGGCGTCAAGAGTCACTCCGGTAGACAGATAGCCTCAGGCTGTGCCACACACCTCCTGCACTGTGTCTCTGTGTGTGTGTCCGTGTGTGCTTGACTCTGCATGTGATTCTGCAGATGTTCACCACATATCAATACAAAACACGTCTTAAGAGCCTGAATCTTAATTATGCTGCTGTATTAATCATTGAAATGCTACATTGGCATAATTTATTACATTTCTAATGAAGGACAGGGAAATGTGCTCACTCCACACATCATGTTCCAGCTAATTCCTGGACATTACATTTGGCTTTTACACATCTGAAACAGCTCTGTGGTGATGTTGCAACAGAATAATTCATCAAAACAAATGCTCCATTTTATGCTGTCCCTCAATTGAATGTGACCAGCACTAAAAGATGCAATACTTAAAGCATGCAATATGCATGAAATTATGCTAATGCACCACACTTACGTTCATTTAGATCTACATGTGGACATATGTGTAATTTTATTACCTCAATCTGGTAACCATAGGCTTCACTGAATGATTAACAATGTGTAGATGCATAAGTGAACACATAGACTAGGCTTTATCTTGTCACACTTGTTTGAAAAGATTATTAAATACCTTAAAGTGAAAGAAATGTTATATTTTCTATCAGTCTAAATGTGCTGAAATGCTTGAAAGTTTTAAAAAATCAGTAAAATATGCAAAACAAACTCTGCATATTAATTTCTTTCTGTGTTAGATTTGAACACTTAAAACTTTACCCCAAACTTCAGAGACAGATTTCAGACTTTCTGCTCCTTTTTTTTTTGTTATTTGAATCAATTAACTTGCTCCAAAATGCAGTTTTTCACCTCTAATGTTCTTAATATTTTATGGACCCAAATCACCTCCAGCAAGATTTTTGGCAATGAACCACAAAGTAGTTTAAATATTTATGTTCATGCATTTGAATCAGTCATTTAAACAGATGCATCACACTTGTTTTGTAATAACAGAAATCCATGAATAGTGGCATTGAATATTTTCCAGGGAAAGTTGGAGTATTAAATTATCAATACTAAATCAGGAGCTGTAGCTATCTGCTCTTAAATGCAGCTCTAATGGATGTCTAGGGGTATACACACTCCCCCAATACACACACATGCACATCACAAACATTCAGTATGCTGGTGACACCCCAGTAGTCACATGCTTGGCTATATATCTATGATAATGGTTACTATGCTGATGATCAGAGCTATTTACTTTAAATGGGTCATTATCAGTGGAAGACTCTACCTTGTGATGGTGATGAGGGCTTTGACAGATATATTGCCAAGCAGGGAATAGCTTGGTGATGATGAACCACACAAGTGCGCCACTATTGTGCGCTTCCACTCTCTCCTTGTGTCTCTGCACCTCATCGGCGTTTCACCTCTTTGTCCTTTGGTTCAATTTTCGAATCACAAGTCAGGAGCAGTCAAGTGCTGCAGAGACCGGAATCCTGGAAGAAAAGACAGCGGTAACATATTAGTTACACAAAGTCTGCGCTGTGTTTTTATTGAATTATGAAGAATTTATGATAGCAGTTTGATCTGGTGTATCACTTTCAGCGAGGCTCTTGTTCTGCATGTTTAAGATATAGTGCAGCACTTGAGCGTCTGTCTCTTTGGGGAGTTGGCAGGGAGCAAAAGCATGCTGCGTGATGCTCTGCTCATCCTAATCACAGCTTTGAGTCTTCAAAGAAAATACGACGACTCAAATTCATATTTGACACGGTAATAATAAAACTACTTAAAACTATAAAGTCGCTCCCAGTTCCCCCATTTTCCTTAGTCCATGTTTATCTCCCTATTTTAATTAGTAAGAGGCTTTAATTTCTGCTGTTGCTTTTATCGCCAATCATTTACAAGCACAGGGATGATCATGTTAATATTACAGAATTATGAAATACATTCCTTGGGTTAATTAGGTTGTTCTTTTTAATTAGAATGTAATTGGGTGAATTGGTGCCTTTTTAAGAGGGAATCACAGGCCATCAAATAAAACAGACGGTGCAGTTAAAACGCAGCTGAGAACTGTAGGCAACAGTGCCCTCTTGATGTCAAAGCGGGAGCTGAGTGAGTACTTCTGTTTGCTAAAACTGGCCTTTTTTTTTGTCTGAGCGGTTTGGTTTGTGTGGATACAAACTGTTT